GGGCGCCGCGCTGGGCCGCGTTCGCGGGGGTCGGGTGAGGGCCCGGCAGCCGGCCCTGCCCGGATCCGCCCTCCTCGAGGCGGGTCTGCCCTTCGGAGAGGGCGTGCCTGTCTTCGCCTGCGGGGCCGGCTTAGTATAGAGGACCGGAGGGAAGCGTCTCTTCCCCGCCCCCGTGCCCCAAGTGTTCAACGTTCTCAGACTGCTGGGAGAGTCCGTATTTGCCCCCACCTGATGCAACCTTGAAAATGAACTGCGAGTGTCTTCCGGGTGGAGTCTATGTCTTGCTACGTATAAAGCACCTAGAACACACGTATCCCATGGTTTTCTTTGTATCCCCGGTACTTGGCACACAGTAAGCTCTCACCGTGTCATCTGGATGTCAAAGACAGGCCGTCCTGTCTTTCCTTGCCAAGACCAGCAGGGTTGGAATCCAGCAACCTCTCTGGGCCACCCACATCTGGTTACCTTTTCCCCACTTTTTCCACCCCAGCAACACTGTAACCAGAAAACTGTTTTGGGTATCTGACCTTCATTTGAACCCATTTTCCCTCATTTGAACTTCTTTTTCCTCATTCATGAGACTCCAAAGAAAACTTACATGATTGGTAAGAGTTATGGATAATGGGGTCCCTTTCGGTGGAGACAGAACAGACTACAGAAGAATGTGCGAACTTTAGACATTGGCCCCTTTATAAGTTTTACATTAACTTAGCTTGGTAGCCAGCACAGTACTCCGTTTTTTGGTTTTTGTTTTGTTTTTTAATGTGTTGCGGTTAAACTGGAAGCAAATGGATAACTTTCTTTTTTGAGTGAAGAATCTAATTTTTAACAATGAAATTATTTCAGGAAATGATAGAGGGAACCACCAAAACTTCCCTCAATCTCCCAGAATTGTCAGATAAACTTGGAAAATGATTAAACCATGAGTCTCCAGTAGCCAAATTGAAATTAATCTCCTAGATAGTCCAGGCAAAAATGATTATTATATTCTGCAAACACTTCAAATGTAGGATAGCAGCTCTATCTTCCATCTGAGGTAAAAAAAGAAGTTGATGGGGGAAAGAGTAACATTCCTTTAAACCGACAGTTGCAAAATCCTTTAAAAATTAACCCAAAGGAAATTAAGATTAAAAAACAGAATGAAGGGAAAAAGAAAAATAGAAGGACCAAAATAGAAATACAGTCAACTTTCTCTGGTTTAATTATTTCGCAGTTAGCCGTATCTGGGACCAAGGTCCCAGAATTTGGTGTTAGGACCAAATTCCAGATAGACGGGAGACAGAAAGGAAGTGGAAAGTCCTGAAGCTGACAGAGCTGAACTTGATTTCATTTATGCTGAGAAAGCTCAAGTTTTCACTTACTATTGAAAATATATTTTGAAAGTTTTATTGAGGTATAACTTAGTATGAAATTCACCCATTGTATATATATATAATTCAATGATTGTCAGTGAATTGGCAGAGTTGTGCGATTATCACCACTAATTTCAGAGCATTTCTATAACCCCAAAAGAATCCTTTATACTTATTTGCAGTTGCTCTTAATTCCTATCCTCAGCCCCACCTGCCACTAATCTACTTTCAGTCTCAATGGATTTGTCTATTGGGGACATTTCATATATATGGAATTTTACAGTGTTTTTGGCCTTCTTTCACTTGGCATAATGTTTTTGAGGTTTATCCATGTCATCGCACGTGCCAGCATTTCATTCCTTATTATCACTGAGTCGTATTCCATTGCATGGATATACAGTTGACCCTCTATATCCACAGGATCCGCACCCTTCGATTCAACCAAGCATAGATTATGTAGATATATATATTTTATTCCCTAAAGTTCCAAAAGGCAAAACTTACATTGATCAAGCTCTGACAACTATTTACATAGCACTTACATTGTATTTACGATAATTTACATAGTACTTACATTATATAGTATTAGGTATTATAATCGAGAGGTGATTTAAAGTATTCGGGAGAATGTGTGTAGGTTATGTGCAAATACTATACCATTTTATGTAACGGACTTGAGCATCCTCAGATTGCTATTGGTGGGGTTCCTGGAACCAGTTGCCTATGGACAGTGAAGGATAACTCTACCACATTTTGTGTTTACTCACCAGTTGGTGTACATTTTGATTGTTTCAAGTTTTGGATTATGAATACTGCTGCTATGAACATTTGTAAGCATATGTCTTCATGTGGACATGTTTTTATTTCTCTTGAGCAGATGCCTAGTAATGGAATGTTGTGTGATATGGTAAATTTAAATTTAACTTTTTTAAGATTCTGTCAAATTCTTTTCCAAAAGTGACTATGCCATTTTACATCCACACCTGGAATGTTTGAGGGTTTGTCATTAAAATTTGATTTCTGCATTTATATTAAAATAGAAACAAAGGGAAGCTCAATTCTATCTACACACCCCCATTTTCCTTGTGGAAGGAGGATCGACACCCAAAACCAAGGAGTATCTCTTATTGCAAGCTCTTCACTTGAATTCTAGATCTCTGAAGACATGGTTATTTAACAACTGTGATGTCAGATGGCTGCAGCTTTAGATGAAAATGTCAGGATAGGGCACCTTAAGACAAAATGTTATGGCAGCAGCCATTAAGGTAACCCCCTATGATCCTGTTCTCCTGGTGTTCAGACCCTGTGAAATCCCTTCCACTTCAATAAGAACTAGGCCTAGTGGCTTCCTTCTAACAAAAAGCTAGACAAAATTATGGGTTTTCTCTTCCAAGATTAAGTTACAAAAAGACCCTGGCTTTTGTACTAGGCTACCCGCTCTCACACAATTGCCTTGAAGAAGGCTAACTCCCAGGTTGTGAGCTGCCCTATGGAGAGGCCTACATGGGCAAGGAACTGTTATCTCCAACCACAGTGAGAATCTGATGGCCACCAACAAGCCATGTGAGTGAGCTTGGAAAAGGATCATCCCCTAGTCAAGACTTGATATGACTGTAGCCCTGGTCAATGTACCTTATTAGGCTTTATTGGAGACCCTGTGCTAGAGACACTCAGCTTAACTGCACCAGAGTCTTAACCCATTTGTTGTTTAAGTTGTTAAGTTTTGGGATAATTTGTTACACAGCAATAGGTAGCTAATACACATGACCCTCAAAAAGTGCATTTCCTTTGATTTCCATGTACATTCAGAATTCTTTAAAGACAAATGCTGAAGTCAAGAACTAACATATCCAATAGAAGTTGAATTTTTGAATGCATCCCCCTGCCGCAAATGATTTTCAGGCAGCCACTTAAACAAAAATCAACAAGTGTCCTTGGGGAGTTATCACCAAAGACAGTGAGGAACATTGCCCTGAAAGGGTTCAGATATTGAGAAGAATTGCTAAAATACTTCAAAAATAGCTGTGGCCATTTCAACCACTATTTCAGAAATCAAAAAAAGTATCAAGTGAGAAGCCATATAGAGAAAGACTTTCAAACTTGGGAATCGAGTCCTGTGGATTCTGTACTTGCTTTCTGATTTTCAATGGCCCTTCAACGAGCCACATGGCCCTTTAATTTTCATCACTTCAATGATTAATCAAGTCTGAGGATTTGGAGATGAAAAACTGATGTAGTCATGCAAAGCAGAAATGCGTAGAGTGATTTGCTATCATTCAGTCCAGTAGCACACGTCAGATGATCCAGTATTTCCAGCAATTCATTTTTCTGCAATCATTTCTTTTCAGCTCTCTTCATTTGAACATGTTTAATGTATGATGATACATTATTCACTCAATACTCTTGATTTCGCTTTCAAAAGCATGAAAATTAATTCAAATCAAAACGAACGCGCACCCCCTCTAAATCCATCCTCTTCAAGTTTTTGTACAGACCAATCCTCATTTAAAAAAAAAAAACCAGCAGATGTAATTTCAAAAATAGGACCATGGCTAATTAAACCAGTGTTTTTTTCTAACCATGGTTACTCAGAATTCTTAGAGGCTAATCTATTTGTAGACACTCCAGGAATCCCAAAAGACTAAAAGCAATTTAGAAAAAAAAAAAAGGAAAGAAAGAGTATATGATGTGATGCTTCCAGGA